ATTGTTATTTCTTGGTAAGACACTTAGAGAAAATAATTTGAATAGTGTTTACTTTTTTATAATATAAACAATGATATAAAGCTATTATCTTTCCTAATTGATGAATTTTTACACTCCTAAGTTTGCTTCAACTTCTAGTATTTGATTGTCTGCTTTCAATGTCATGAAATATCCTCATTGATTTAATGTGAAGTTTTTTTTTTTTTTCCTCAACTGGTCAATTCCTGTAGGCATCTTCATCTTTTTTATTGCCACAGCTGCTTTTCATATATGCCATTAGTTTGTGTCTACTAAATTCCTCTGTCATACATAGAGTATCTTGAATGGACTGGCATTGTTATGATATTCAATGGTCTGCTATTTTTTTCCATAAATACATTCACCTTTGATTCTAATTTCACTTCCATCATCATAACTTTATATTTCTATGCTACACCTTCATCTTTATTTCCAAATATATCTTTTGTTTGCTTTTCTGAAATATCACATAAGCTTTTCACTGAGAGACAAGGAGCCAGCACAACTACTGCCTATGTGATAACTGAGTAACAGATGCACAGTGGCTAATCACTGACAGACTTTGAGAGAAGTGACCTATTGATAACTGTAAACTGAAAACTCTAAGTGAATATTTTACTTTGTCCATACTCACAGTTAATATAATATGGTAACTAAAATTAAAACGTTCGTGGTGGCCAGTATTATTTAGCTAAAACATAGTGTACTAGTCAGCTTTTTGACTCTGTAACAGATACTGAGAGAAGCTACTGGTGAAAAAAAGAAAATTACTTTGGCTCATGGTTTTGGAGATTCATAGTCTATCTCTGGATGGGAATTAAATGTCAGCACGAATTTGGGAGCCAAAATTTTTTCAAACCATAGCACATGGCAACTGAAATTTGTGTATTTGGAACCATATAAAGCAAGGAAATCAACACTGAAAACCTGTCATATAGGCTAGCCCTCAAAAGCTGGTCTGGATCCAAATATTGCTGTTAGTTTTCAGCGTTACCTCAGCTAACAAGTAGAGAAAATATATAAAACCAAAGAATCATTAGGAAGAAAGCGGGCTCACTTCTATGGTATCCTCATTCTTCATGAAGACCTTTCTGAAGTTTGGTTGTCTTGGCAACCACTGACCACTATATTTATCCCTTTAGTTGAGGTTGTTGTGAACTAGAGAGGCAAAGTAGGTTGCCTAAATCTTTATAACAAGTTAGTAGTATAGAGCACTAGAGCTTAGTTTTTTGTTTTTGTTTTTGTTTATTTTTTTTTAAGATTGATTGATTTATTTGGAAAACAGAAAGAGATCTTCCATCTCCTGGTTTACTCCCCAAATAACTACAACAGCTGGAGCTGGTCCAGACCAAACAAGTAGCCAAGAGCTCCGCCCAGGTCTCCTACATGGGTGAGGAGCCCTTGTGCTTAGGCCATTATCTGCTGCTTTCCCAGGCACATTATCAGAGAACTGGGTAGGAAGCAGAACATCTGGGACTTGAACTGGCACCCTGATGCAGGTCGCAGTTTAGCTCATCGTGCCACAATTCCGACCCCTAACTTAGTTCTTTTGATCATTGATGTTGGCATTTATTCTTTACCACGTTTGTGCCTTCTTTCTGATCACTTTCAATCACATCCTGTTTCTTCCAGTAATGGCCTGTGAGAACATGTGGTCTTGAGAACTTCTTGTTGTCAGAGATGTTCTTACTCTACTTATAGTACCTCAAAGGTCGAATTTATTTCTTCTAATTCTAGTATAGTCAAGAATAATCTTGTACCTACCCCAGTGGCTGTTTGGATAAGGGGAACCCTCATCCTTTTCGTTCATCTAGAATGGATGCATGAGTTCACACTGCAAGCTGAAAAATCCTTTCAGGTTCTGCAGAATACACTTTCAATATCAGTCGCAGCTCCCAAACTGCGCTACAATGTTTTCTCTTGCATAATGAAGCCTTTGGCCATCATTGCTACTTTGAAATCAAAGCGTTTTGGTCTCTAATGGAATGTTTATAAAATACTCCCATTTTGAAATTTTCTCAGGAAAAGGAAGTATGGTAAATGATATTAGAAATCCCTCTGGCTTGCCCCAGCATTGCTTCATTTAATGCTGTATACTCTGGAAATATCTTGAATTAGTGTGAAAAGAAAGTATTAACATGCAATGATAAGTAAGCTTTTATCCTCATTGTCTTCTTCCATTGAAGTAAAGTATCAGATATGTATCTTTAATCATAATTATCTGTATGATAAAATAAATTGTCCTTTGCCAAATTTAATAAAGGTATCTTGGGTAAGCTAAAAAATCCCCTAATACCTATGTCAAATGTCTCATCTATTTGTAGTCTTTTATGAAGGTAAAAAATGAAGTATTTTGGATGGAGCAGTATTAAATTTCAAACCTGTAGTTTAAAAACTATACTGTGTATATATCAATCTCTGTTGCTTTCATTAGTATCAATGAAATAAAGAAGGTGAACAGTTGAATGTGTGAAACATAGCACCGGCCCCAGCAATCTTGTCTTTTAAAGCCTCTTCTGATCCTGAGATTTTCTGCTTCTGTATTTATTTACCTTTGCCTCTGTGTTTTTTCCCCTTGGTGACAGAGAGCAGGAATTACGTCAGGTCTGAACTGGAAAGTGAACTTGATTGGGGGTTATAGTTGGTGATGGATATTAAATAAAAGGCTAGAACATGTTGTAGGATAAGGCATTTGGCTCAGCCTGTTTCCTATGTTGGAGTGCCTGGGTCCTATTCGCTGAGCTTATCCTGAGCCAGCTTTCTGTTAATGCACAGCCTGGGAGGCAGCAGGTGATGGCCCAGGTAGTTGGGTCTCTGTCTAGATGGAGTTCTAGACTCCTGACTTTGTTGTGGCCTATCCCTGGTTATTGCAGGCATTTGGGGAGTGAACCAGCAGATGGAATATCTCGTCTTGTCTCTTTTTCTACCACTCTGTTTTTCAAGTGAACAAAAATAAATTAAGAAATGATATATTGTGGTTAATTCTAACATGTGCAATCACTGTTGGCTGCTGCTCCTTTGTAATGTTTTTATGCTTAATATATTTACTCAATTGTGATTATTTTTTTCTTAGATTATTTTACAAGATTTATTTATTTATTTGAAAGGTAGAGTTACAGAGAGGCAGTGGGGGGGGGGGGGAGAGGTCTTCCAGCCAATGGTTCACTCACCAGATGGCCGCAACAGCTGGAGCTGCACTGATCTGAAGCCAGGAGCCAGGAGCTTCTTGTAGGTCTCCCATGCAGGTGCAGGAGCCCAAGGACTTGAGCCATCTTGTACTGCCTTCCCAGGCCATAGCAGAGAGCACTCGAACTGACGCCCATGTGGGATGCTGGCACTGCAGGCAATAGCTTTACCCACTACACCACGGTGCTGGCCCCATGATTATTTTTATAATTAAGGAAAAAAAGAAGGTAAATCCAGATATAGATACTTTTTAATAGTAGTTCTCAAGCACCTTCCTGCAAATAATTCTTGAATTCTTTAAAAAAAAAAAAAACTAATTATCAGGCCGGCGCCATGGCTCAATAGGCTAATCTTCCGCCTGCGGGGCCAGCACACCGGGTTCTAGTCCCGGTCAAGGCGCTGGATTCTGTCTCGGTTGCCCCTCTTCCAATCCAGCTCTCTGCTGTGGCCCAGGAGTGCAGTGGAGGATGGCCCAAGTGCTTGGGCCCTGCACCCGCATGGGAGACCAGGAGAATCACCTGGCTCCTGGGTTCGGATCAGTGCAGTGCACTGGCCGCAGCACGCCTATCACAGCGGCCATTGGGGGTCAACCAACGGTAAAGGAAGACCTTTCTCTCTGTCTCTCTCTCTCTCTCACTGTCCACTCTGCCTCTCAAAAAAAAAAAAATTAAAAAAAAAACTAATTATCAAAAAGATGATTAGCACTTTCGGAAAGAACTTTAGGAGAGAGATGATATTTTTCATGGAGTTAGAATGTAAGGTTTATGTTTATTGGGTTATAAGAAGCAGTTTCCTGAAAGTTAGAATTTTCATTTGTGATAAGATAGAATTTAACCTAGATATTTTATGTCCTTTGGAGCTGAAACTGTCTTACTCCTCAGCTCCAACCAGATATACCATCAAACCTATACTAGGTCCTCAAAAATTACTTTCTGAATTAAACCTGGTACCTATTATTGACATAATAATAGAAAAAAGATAATGCTAGGTTAAAAGACTGAATTTTTGATACATTCTTTTTTGTCACTCTCCAAAATATTCCCTTTAAGAAAATGTAAAAATGTTTTTATTCATAGTATATTGGAAGCACAGGCACTGACTTTATTTTTCAAAGTTGAAAGAAATGAGATTGATGTCCCATACAGTTATAAAATGCTAAAAATAAGTAGAGCTGAAATAAATTAAAGCCCAGTGCTTAGAAAGGCCAAGGAAAACCTTCAGATCAAGGGAGACTATAATTGAAAGGGTCCAAATAAGTATTTAAAACCACTCTTCCTGGGACTACTAAGATTTCTGAATTTCAAATTGGCATTTTATGTTTGACAAGGTGACATTGTGTAAGAAATGTGTTGTAAAGCGCTGCTGTATGATAGGAAAATGATTGAATGTAAATATTTCAAGATGTGGACCACTGTTCAAATGTTATCATAAATCTTTGCCATTGTTTTAGGGGATAACTCTTCATGCATATTTGAGCTAACATGACAGAGCTAGCTCTTGGAAGGGAAATCATCAGTAAATTTGTTCCTCTTTGCTAAAACTGCACTGATTGAGCCACAGAAATATTATTTAAGATCTTTGCAGTTATTATCATGTACTTACTATATTACATCAGGAGGGAGACCATTTTATGAAGATACTACATCTGCCATAGCTTTTGTTCTACTCATTAAGTGTTCTGACTTCTCACTGCCATGTGTAGTTAAAAAGTTCCTGGGAAGTTTGCATTCTTAAACTTTTAAAAAAAAAGAAAAACAATTGATCTGTAAGATTAACTCTGCTTCCATTCTTTATAGGTTTGGAAGGTTTACAGTTGCTGCTCTTCAGTCCAAAGTTGAACAGTATGAACGTGAAACTAATCGGCTCAAGAAAGCCCTGGAGCGAAGTGATAAGTATATAGAGGAACTAGAATCTCAAGTCACACAACTAAAACATTCAAGTGAAGAGAAGGAAGCTATGGATTCCATTTGCCAGAGAGTACTTTCTGCAGATGGCAAGAGGATCAAGGATAGTGAAGAGGATATGGTGTCAAAGAATCAATGTGACAATGCCAGAACGCAGTCTGGCTCATCCACCTCAAGTTCTCACCTGACAAAGCCTTCCAGCAGCAGACTGTCTGACACCAGTTCTGCCAGACAAGAAAGTACCAGCAAAACAGAGCCTAATTCTTCTAAGAACAAAGACCTATATCAAAAACGGGTAGAAATAATGTTAGATGTGACAGATGCAAACATGGATGCTTATTTGGAAAGAGAATGGGGTAATAAACCAAGTGATTGTGTACCCTACAAAGATGAAGAACTTTATGATCTTCCAGCTCCTTGTACTCCTTTGTCTCTTAGTTGCCTTCAGCTTAATACTCCAGAAAATAGAGAGAGCTCTGTAGTCAAAGCAGGAAGTTCCAGAAAGCACTCAAACCATCTAAGAAAATTGGTATTTGATGATTTTTGTGATTCTACAAATGTTTGTAATAAAGATTCTTCAGAAGATGATATAAGTAGAAGTGAAAATGAAAAGAAATCAGAATGTTTTACTTCCCCAAAGACAGGATTTTGGGATTGCTGTTCTACAAGCTATGCCCAAAGCTTGGATTTTGAGAGTTCAGAAGGGAATAACATGGCAAATTCTGTTGGAGAAATATCTTCAAAACTGAGTGAGAAATCGGGCTCATGTTTATCCAAGAAGTTAAATTCTATTCGCTCTTTTGAAATCAACCGGACACGGACATCCAGTGAAGCATCAATGGATGCTGCTTATCTTGACAAAATCTCTGAATTGGATTCAATGATGTCAGAGTCGGACAACAGCAAGAGCCCTTGTAATAACGGTTTTAAGTCAGTGGATTTGGATGGGTTGTCAAAGTCATCTCAAGGCAGTGAATTTCTTGAGGAACCTGAAAAGTTGGAAGAAAGAACTAAACTAAGCCTTTCCAAAGGTTCTCTAACTACTGATCAGTTAGCAAATGGAAATGAATGGAAACCTGCTTCTTTTTTTCTCCTCTCTCCATCTGACCAAGAAATGAATGAAGATTTTTCACTCCATCCCACTTCTAATCCAGGAACTAATGAAATTAAACCACCCAGTTGTTTGTTTCAGACAGAATTTTCCCAGAATGTTTTGTTAAGCAGTTCACATCGACTTTTTGAAGATCAAAGGTTTGGGTCATCTTTGTTTAAGATGTCCTCAGAGATGCATGGTCTTGGTAACCACCTTCAGTCTCCTTGGTCTACTTCCTTTGTGCCTGAAAAGAGGAATAAAAATATGAATCAGTCAACAAAAAGAAAAATCCAGAGCAGCCTTTCCAATGCCAGCCCATCTAAAGCAACTAAAAGTTGACTCTTTAGAAAGCTGTCCTTCGTGTTTTTGTTCCAAGAGAAATATGAAAGTTTTTAAAAGTTGTTTTTCCCCTTGTAAAAGCTCTATACAGTATTGAATTAAGTGAGAATGGTGGATTAACTTGTACCAGAATATTTTTGTTCATTTTGAAAAGACTTTGGTTTTTATTCTTATTTAGGAAGCTTTAGACCAGAGAAAGTTGAGGTTTTTTTTGTTTGTTTGTTTGTTTTTTGTTTTTTGTTTTTTTTTTAATGAACATTATATATATCTGGGTTGGGTATATTTTTCTTTACTGTAATCTTATTTAACAGATACAAAGGCCTGTCAGTGAGCCTCAGTTGTCTTCAGAACTTGGATTTCTTGAAGCTTTTAGTATTGTCTCTATAGTGCTCATAAAGAGAATTGGGTTCCTTTAAAGCTTTTCCTAGTATGAAAATTATTTTGTCTGCCCTTTTTTATTTATGTTAATGTTGGCCTAATTTTATGAAAGACCGTGATGGAAAAATAGCACTCTGACCTTAGCCCAATGTTCATTTACTGTTTTTAAGGTTATATGTATATGTTTGCATTTTTTTAACATTCTGCTTTGTATAGTTTTTGTGAAAACCTTCTGCTAGTGTAAAAGAATACATTTTTGTATGAAAATACTCATTTTATATCAGCCTATATTTGCTCATCTTTTATGTGTATGGAGCAGTTGGTTTTAGAGGAATTTAAATATCATACCCTCTCATTGTTGCAGGTATATAGGTATGAAAGCACTCATTGCAAGTATTAATTCACTTGTATCCCAAGGGAGGTTTTTTTCTTTTAATTTGTGCGTGTGTGTTTGCGTGTGTGTGTGTCTTTGTCTGTGTTTGTGTGTGTTTGAGTGATAAAGGTCTTGCCTGCATGTTACTGTTCTTTGTGGAAACTGTGTGCATGGTAGCATTTTTGCTTGCTATTTTCCATACTTAAAGAAAAAGAAGTTTCGGTTGGCTAATAGAATAGCTTTTATGTAGGACAAACTTTTTTGTTTTATGGAGAGAATTGATGGGGGGGAGGATAGGTAAGAGTTAAGCACAATTTTTAATTTAGGCTTTGAAAAACTGTATTATTCTAAACGTGTTTGGTCTGTTTAAAAATGGGTTTGTATGCTAATGACTTGTTTATCTAATGTGCACTGAACATTTTACATTAATACCATATTGTTTTCATTAATACTGCATGTTTTTCTATGTGAATTGAATAAAGAATGTCATAAGTGTTATATTTCTTGATGTCTCAAATATTGAATTAACCTATACAGACCAGGAAAACATAATTTTATTTGATCTTATATTACATGGGTTGACAAACTATGACCCATACACCAGATATGGCTTGCAGCTGACTTTGAAAGACCTGTGAGCAAAAAATATTTTTACACTTTTTAATGGTTTTTAAAAATCCAAAGTATATAGTTCCATGACATGGGAGAATTATTTGAAATTCAAGCTTCAGTGTTTCTGAATAAAGTCTTACTGAAATGCATTTATACTCATTTGTTTATGTATTATAAATGGCTGGTTTTGTACTGCAACAGCAGAGTTTAATAGTTACAAAAGACCATGTGGCTCACAGAGCCTAAAATATTTACTGTCTAGCTTGTGATAGAAGAATTTGCTCACCCTTGTTAAATAGACTCAGGATTCAATGAAACTATAAAAAGTGAAACAAATCTCTTTTATGATTTGGAGAGATATGCCCTTCACTTTATAAGTAACAGTAGCCAGAGAAAGTTAATGTAAAGCATAACTTGTTATATATACTTTCCAATAATTGTTCATCATTTTATCTTTCTTTTTAAAGATTTATGTATTTATTTAAAAGAGTTACACAGAGAGAGAAGGAGAAGCAGACAGAGAGAGAGAGGTCTTCCATCCGCTGGTTCACTCCCCAATTGACTGCAGCTGCCGGACCTGAGCCTATCCGAAGCCAGGAGGCCAGGAGCTTCTTCCTGGTCTCCCACGAGGGTGCAGGGGCCCAAGACTGCTTTCTCAGGCCATAGCAGAGAGCCGGATTGGAAGTAGAGCAGCCGGGACTAGAACTGGTGCCCATATGGGATGCCGACACCACAGGTGGCGGCTTTACCTGCTACACCACAGTGATGGCCCCCATCATTTTATCTTTCTGATATGTCAAAGCTATTGGATCCTTTCAGAGATATTAACAGCTTAAATGCCTTTGTTAATATACTTATACATTGGGGCTGCCTGCAGTGCCAGCATCCCTCATGGATGCCGGTTTAAGTCCCAGCTGCTCCACTTCCAATCCATTTCTCTGCCATGGCCTGGGAAAGCAGTAGAAGATGGCCCAAGTCCTTGGACCCCTGTACCCACCTGGAAGACCCAGAAGAGGCTCCTGGCTCCTGGCTTCGGATCAGCACAGCTCCAGCTGTTGTGACCAATTGAGGAGTGAACCAGCAGATGGAAGACCTCTCTATCTCTGCCTTTCCTCTCTGTGTACCTCTGACTTTCAAATAAATAAATCCTTTTAAAAATATACATTAGAAACTGAAATGTAGAAATTTAAACTGTTCTGTCACGGGGTAAATTTAAGGATATTGTGCACATTCTGCAGGTCCCCCAAGGTTCAAATGCTGAAAGCCTACCCTCAAGGTGGTGGTATTAAAAGTTGGGGCCTTCAGGCCTTGATTAGGTTATGAGGACTCTGCCCTCAGGAGTGGGATTAGTGCCTTTAGAAAGGAGGCCCCAGAGACTTCCCTTACTCTGCCTTCCATCCTAAGGCACCATGTTGAAACAGAGTGAGCCATCACCAGATACCAAATTTGTTGGCACCTTGATTCTCTACTTCCTAGCCTTCAGAAATGAGAAATATATTTATGTCACTCAGTATAAGATGTTTTATTATAGCATCCCAAACAGACTCAAACAAGGGTTGAGCCTCACTAATTCTGTTTATATGCAAGAATGTGTCCATTTTTAGTCCAAATATATACTGACACTGTGATGGAAATGTGGAGTGTATAGCCTGATTCACCCATGACTAACCGGAATGAGAGCACCTACCAGAATATTTTCTAGCTGCCTACATTCAGAAATTATCCCTCCATCCTCCCTAAAGCAGTTGTTTGATTTTTCATTAAACCCATGCTGTATGCAGGTTTTTATTTTAATCGCATTCTTGTTTGTATCCTCCATTATCAAAATCTGATGTCATGACAAATAGGATGTTCTTACAGATTTTCAAATGTCTGTATAAGCACTAACCAAAACAAAACCTATTGAGACCAAGTATTTTGCTAACTCATCGAATCTTCCTCTTAAAAAAAAAAAAAAAAAAAAAAAAGATTTATTGTATTTGAAAGAGTTAGAGGAAGAGAGAGAGCTTCCATCTGCTGGTTCACTCCCCCAAATGGCTGCAATGGCCAGGGCTGGGCCAAACTGAAGCCAGGAGCCACTTCATCCAGGTCTTCCACATGGATGCAGGGACACAAATACTTGGACCATCTGCTGCTGCTTTCCCAGGAGCATTAGCAGGGCAGCTGGATCAGAAATGGAGCAGCCAGAGCACAAACTGGCAACCATATTTGATGCCGCCATGACAGGTGGCAGCTTAACCTGCTATACCACAACACCGACCCCCAAATTCCCTTTTCAAACAATGAGCCAAGTACTATTATTATCCCCAATTTACAGAAAAGTAATTGAGCATTGTTGATCTCAGAGATAGAATGGGGTAGAACCACATCTTGGAATAGGGTTTCTGACTCCAGAGTTCATGCTCTTCCTCTCCCACTCCCATATAGGGTAGTTTGTATTTGTAGACCAAAAGATGATAGATTTGAAATTTTTCAAAGTTTCTTTTAAAATATTTTGGGGGCTGGCGCTGTGGGGCAGTGGGTTAAAGCCAAGGCCTGAAACACCGGCATTGCATATGGGTGCTGATTCAAGTCCCAGCTGCTACATTTCCAATCCAGTTCCCTGCTAATGCTCCTAGGAAAGCAGTATAGAATGGCTCAAGTCCTTGGGCCCCTGCACCCTTATGGGAGACATGGAAGAAGCTCCTGGCTCCTGGCTTTGGACTGGCCCAGCTCTGGCCACTGCAGCCATTTGGGAAGTGAACTGGCAGATGGAAGATCTATTCCGCCCTCTGTCTCTAAATTCTGCCTTTCAAATAAAGCTTTTTTAAAAAAATTAAAAAATATATTTTGGGACTATTAGCTGTTGTTTTGTTTTTACTCGAGTAGCATCTGATTCTTGCCTATGTTGCTGAACTAAACCAAAGTTCAGTGATGAGAGTTGTGTGTGTGCCATTTTAAAGATTCACATTAACTGATGTTTAGATGGATTTAACCTTTCCCTGTTGGTTAATTTCACTATAGAAAAGATGCACTAGTGATAACATATCATTCAATTTTGTTTTTTTTTTCTAAAACTTGGAAGGCAGAAGAAGACAGAAACACCTCCCATCTGCTGGTTCACCCCCTAAATGCCTGCAATGGCTAGGACTGGGCTGGCAACCAAACCCAGGTCTCCCATGTGTATGGCAGGAACTCAATTATTTGAGCCATCACTGTTTCCTCCGAGATTCTAGGAAGCTGGAATCAGGAGTTGGAGCTGGGAATCAAAGCAAGGTTCTGTAAAGTGGGATGTAGGTATCTTAATGCTAGGCCAATCGCTTGCTCCAACAGTTCATGCTTGTATGGGAACATATTTTGACTGTTAAAATGCTTTGGATATGGAACTATGACAGGAAGCTAGGCTTTGGCTATGACTTTCAGCATTCATCTTTTAATTTTAAAATCTTCATTCCACTCCAAAGAAAACCGGTGTACTTTTTTTCTGTTTTATTGAGTCAGCTGACACAAAAACTAAAAATGGTGGACTAAGATTTCCATTCCCGTAGTTTCAAATGTGCTTTGTTTTCTTGTCATTTCTTTGGTATCTGCCACTAAAGATGCCACGAAACAAAGGGCTACATGGTGTTTCAGGCACTTGTTTCTGTGTACTTCAATGCTTTTCAGTTATTCAAAGTGTAATACAGAAACTAGATTTTCCGCCCCTCACTTCAGTACCTGCAGATGATATTTGCAGAGATGATCAAATTGAAATTAAGGGCTTATGCTGTGGGGCCTAGATGATTAGAAGTTTCCCAAAGCCTCATAAGAATATCTTTCATTCCTATTTGTGGGAGTCCTTCTACACAGCCTTTGCCTATCACGATGTAACCTGATCCCTCTAATAACACTTGGCAAGGAGAAAACCTTTTAAGCGAGGATCTCAGAGTGCACAGTGAACATTTATTGCCTAATTCTCGGAACCCCACTCTGAGCGAGGAAGCATCTATTAAGATGCAGATTTCTTTTAAGAACCCATCTGGAGCTCACATGATCTTCAATTTTCTGTGACTGAAGAAGCCTTGAGATAAAGCTCCCCTTTCGAAACCAGGTGGATTCCTAGGTCCTGCTGAATCTTACTAGCAAGCAACTCCTCCCTAAGAAATGTTGGTTGGATTAACAAATGTATGGATGTGTGGGCTTGATACGTTGATAACTGGGGGTGTAGAGGTCCTCTCCCTGGAGCAAGGATTTCCCTTAGGCATTTACTGAGGCTTACTGTGGGGAAGGAGGATGGTTCTCACAAGAGTCCGTGTTGGGAATAACGTGATGCCTGAGGAAATCTGACAGCTATTTCCACCGGGTCTTGAAGGATGAGTAAGAGTTCGGCACAGTAGGGGGCGTCCCTTCTGTGGGTACAGATATTCTGGGAAGGGCGCCCGTTTAGCGACGGGCTTCGTAGAGGATGTCAGGGAGTCCTGACTAAAAAAAAAAAAAAAAAGATTTCCCGGACTGCTGCAGCCTGAGCTTGCAAGTTTGGCTCTGCTCGGCCACCTCCGAATCTCCCGAGGCTCCGGGGCTCGCCCTTAACCGCCTGGGCCGGCGGCCCGATGGCGAGACACTGGACTCCCTGGGCGCTGAGAGACATAGAAGGTGGCGGGGCTGGCCTTTCATCTGTCCATTAGGCGAGGCTTGGCCCTAGGAGGGCCGGAAGGGGCAACCTCGCTTCAACCACAGAGTCAGATTTGTGTTTGGGGTGGGTGGGGAGGTAGAGAGGTGGGACCTGGCCCGTCAGCCTCGGTCCTGCGCCCCTCCTCAGAGGCAGAGAACTCAGCGCTCCAAGATCCCCGCCGCCAGTGCCCGCCCTACCGCCCCCTCCTCCCAGGCTCCCCGACTGCGGACCTCCGGGGAGGACCGGGGGTGGGGGG